GAATTCCTTGAGTTTCCCAGTTTTCCATCACCGTAGAAAGCCTTTTGATCTGTATCCTTGTAAACAGGCCGACGTATTTGACCTGAAGGAGAGCAAACATGTAAGGGTAGTTAGTAGTGATGGCCAAATGAAGCCTCATGAACCACTTTCTTTATTTTCTGACCCCACCAGATGGCGCTCTTGGTTTAAAGATAAAGGCTGAAGGACTGGCAATGAACTGTGCTTTCAAACCTTTGTTGAACAGACAGCGCCATCTGGTGGCTTCAGAAAATAAACACAGTGGTTCATGAGGCCTCATTTGGTCATCACTGGTAGTTAGTAGTATTGATAGCCAAATGAAGCCTCATGAACCACTGTCTTTATTTTCTGAAGCCACTAGATGGCGCTGTTTGTTCAACAAAAGTTTGAAAGCACACTTCATTGCAGGTCCTTCAGCCTTCATCTTTACACCAAGAGTGCCATGTGGTGGGGTCAGAAAATAAAGAAAGTGGTTCATGAGGTTTCATTTGGCCATCACTACCAGTTACTACTTGAATGAGTCCTGTGTGTGTGGATTGTTGTGATTGTTTCATTCATGCTACAGTTTAACATTGCAAGCCAAAGAGTAAGGATGTGCGTCCGTGTGTGTGCGTAGATGCTTCAAAAAAAATTTTGTTTGCTTGGCATGACATTAGAAAAAAAAATGCAATGTGTTAATAACAGTCTATATAGATTATAGGATGTCTTTGCTTTTCATAGTTGTGCTTCAAAAGCAGTTAATGCATTTGTTAAAAAAGAAAGTTCCTATGCACAGTTCATACATTATTCTCGAAATATCAGTTTCAGGTGATGAAGAATTTTGCACTTTAATAAAAAATAAAATTGCTATGTTAGGCCTGGGATATTTGAATGTTAAAAGTTGATTTTTATTTTGATACGAGTGACGTTGTGAGGGGCCAAAATGAAATAATAAATATATAATAATAATAAAGCCTGTTGAAATGTGCACAGTTGTCTGCTGTCCTTTTGAAAAAATGAAAAACACAAGTGTGCATAACTTAACTCCAGTTAGATGTGGTCTATGGCCCATAGACCACATCTGTGGGAGGGCAGAGAGAAGGGGTAAAAAAAAATAAAAATTGGTACCTTAATTGGTATTAAAATGTATCAAATCAATCTTTCAAATATCTTACAAATGCTAAGACATGGGAAGATGGATTTTATGATTTTTTTTTTCAATTATTTTTCAAAGATCTCAAAATAATAAATAATTCACTTTTTCTCTCCATTTTGTTTATGAAAAAAACTGGTCTTGAATTTTATTCCAAGTGGCACTCTTGAAAACTCTTGAACCCTCATTTCATTTCACTTTTACTAAAATAGCTGCAAAAATCATATATTAGGATCCAGGCTAGAAAAGTGACCACATAATACCACATAAGGATACATAAGATTACACATAAGTAAAATCAGAAAAAAGCAAAAAGCAAAAAAAATCACCAGAGTTAGATAAGATAAAAATATGATATTAAGACAAAAAAAAAGAGAAACACACCAAAAAAAAAAAACGTTAATAAATTGCTTTTATATATAAATGATGGGTTTTAAGGAGAGACTTAAAATTTCGTGAGAATAAATAAATTAATACATACATAAAAACGTTGTGGGGTGCTGGTTTTATGCTAACAAATAAATAGTATCCCAATAAATAAAATAAATAAATTACAGCCCTTTGTTTGTCACCAAACATTCACTTCATTATATATATATATATATATATACATACATACATTAAAAACGTGTTTAACAGAACACACCTCTTGCTTAAATCCAACCAATCCAACCAACGAAGGGAACAGAGTACTAGCCAATCAGAGGGAGTGTGGGGCGGGACATTTCTTCGCCATCCTCGGAAAAGAAACCTCCCGGAACGTTTGTTCTGGCGCGTTCAATCCACGGACATAAAAACAGGACGGAGTAATTTTGTGTAAGCACTTCCGGGGTTAGTAGTAGCAGCAGCAGCGGCAGTAACCACATGTGTTTTGAATGTGTTTTATCGTAATTAAATGTACGCTACCTCGCCGAATCAGACCGTAACAGCCAGCGCGTGCTTTCCGTTAAACAGAGGGACAACGAGAGGTGAACAATGAGCGCTGTCCTTCGGAAGGTAACGATATTTTGTGTTTTCTCCGCCAAATGGTTCAGTTCCTTCACAGAGGTCATAGCTACAGCACGGACTGTATCCACTACACAGTGATTTGAATGTTAGCATAGCATTAGTCAGCGTTAAAGGCAGGTTTAGCCTTTAACGAACGTTGTGTACGTGTTGTCCGTGTATGTTTGCGAGCTTGTGTGCAGATTCAACTTGAACCAACGAGTACTTTTCTTTTTGTTTTGTTTTTTAATGAATAAATGTTCCCCAAAATACAAAGTGATGTCTTGACATTACTCATTTGTCCTAACTACAGTCACAAACTTACAAAGACGGTGATAAAAGCATTAACTTAGGTACATGTACAGTTTAAGATAAGTAGAAGACGTCGATTGGCACTCTCATGACCATGGCACCTAAATCCAATATGGCCGCCACCAGAAAATGGTTTCAGACAGATTTGCAATGAAACATATTTTTTACTCTAACTTGTCTGGAGACAGAATGGAAATATCTCATCTCTTCATTTTAATCTGGGTGGAAGTGTGTGTGTAAATTCAATTTTTTGGGATAGCGACTATATTGGTAATACGCAAGTTAGAGATAATAAATAACAATATGTTATAAAAAATTATAAATCTGAGTATTTCACTATGTTTCTATTGCTTAAAAATATGAAACAGGCATCAAGTTTGCCAAAAGATAAAAAAAAAAAAAAAAACACCTTTATGTTAGGTAGCCGCCATCTTGGAAATATGCAACGTAGGGGTCCAGATGCATCCAATCTACTGATGGTCAAATACCATAAAATAGACACCAAGCCTGCATTTGTAGCTCATCTGGTTCAGAAGTTAGGCACACACACTCAGCTTATACACACACAATCCAACATAGCCGCCACGCTAAAAACGTTTCAGCTCTAACATCTGAACGAGATAAGCTACCATTGCAAGCTTGGTGTCTATTTAATGGTTTTTGACCTTTAGAAATGCATTGCTTATATTTATGATTAGATGCATCTGGACCTCTAATTAGCATATTTCCAAGATGGCGGGTACCTAAAATAGGTTTCAGCAGCATTGACAATGCAGAGGGAGAGCTGGAAGGTTTCTGCATCTCCAAATAGACCGCCAAACTGGGAGGGTGTGTTATGTAAATGACTGAAAGAGTGAGGCGTGACTTGTGTGTATGAATCAGTGCAGCTGGAGTTGAATGCCTGAACCAGCTCGCAGGCATCGCTCCATGAATGATAGGCACACTTTTCCACTGATACTCTTTTTAAACTAACTCCAAAAATCCCAGAGTGCAATATCGCAGTCTCTCACAATGTGTTTATTGCGCAAGTTGCCATGACGGCCAGAAAGTGATATATATTTGGCAGTTCTACAATACTGAGAAACTTACATAAAAAAATATACAAACTGATGTTACTCTGTGTTGTCCAGTTGCAGGTGTCCGTCACACAACAGGCATTTGTGTTAAATCAAGCGCTAACATTATGCCGGTAAGTCTTTGCATTTCTTATTTAATCCTGATTCCTCTTGTTGGCCTAACTGAAGGCTGTATTGTCAGGATGTGATCATTGTATTCTTTCATAGTAAGAACTATAAAACCCCATCCCCACATGTACATTTTCATCTAAAGCCTTAAGGTTTTAGCATGATCAGTGTATTATTTTCACCCTTCTGAACATTGTTTTCTGCCTGTTATGATGACATTTGATGCAACAAAGCAACTGCTGAGGCTCAGGAAGATGGCAGCATCACTCCAGCAAAGTTTGATAGGGCAAGACGAGAGCGTTCAGATGATCTGACAGGTTGTTATCACACCAAGCGTTTAGTTAGACGATTGAAACCACTTTATTTGGCGGTGAAAAAATGGGAGCTAGTGATGGCCAAATGAAGCCTCATGAACCACTTTCTTTATTTTCTGACCCCACCAGATGGCGGTCTTGGTTTAAAGATAAAGCCTGAAGGACTGGCAATGAATTGTGCTTTCAAACCTTTGCTGAACACACAGCGCCATCTGGTGGCTTCAGAAAATAAAGACAGTGGTTCATGAGGCCTCGTTTGGCCATCACTAATGGGAGCACCTGAAATGTTATATATAACCCTCTGCACACATCTCTGGTCAAAGTGATTTTATTTTTAACATTCACTGTAATTTTTGGGGCACGTCCCACTGGTAGGAGGCCCCGGGGCAGACCCAGAACATGCTGGAGGGATTATATATCTCATCCAGCCTGGGAACACCTTGGGGTCCCCCAGGAGGAGCTGGTAAGCGTTGATAGGGAGAAGGATGTCTGGGGTGCTTTGCTTGGCCTGTTGCCCCCACGACCCAACCCCGAATAAGCAGATGAAAATGGATGGAAGTGTCATTTTATCTTCCTAATGAGTTTAATTATTCTGTGGGTTTGTTTAAAACCTGCCTGATTGTCTGACTTCAGTTTTCTTGCCCCGTCAAACTTCTTTTTAGCGATGTTGCTGCATTTTTCCACCGAAACCGGAGCTATCCAAAGTTGTACAACTGCAAGAATGTTGTATATTTATGTATTTAAATATTTGTTCCCAAAATGGTTATAAGTGACTTTTTTGGTAGTAATCCTCTGTTTCTAATACTGTTTTTGAATGATACTTTAAAGGGCTACGACATCCATCCAGCATCCGAATTGGGGTAAGTTTTAAAAAGACTGCTGTGAGTAAAACACTTGTCCTTTGCATGTAAAATGCTGTATTTGTGTTTTACTGCCATCAGAGAAACTCTTGCATTGTGTCTTTAAATAGACAAATTTTCCTGTCA